TCTAAAACGTGTATTTAACTGGGGTAGTTTTTAATTTAGAGTAAAACAGACAACTAAATAGAAAGAATCAACATTTAAGTTACGTTGCAAATGTTTAATTAATCATATCCATTCACGTGTGGCATCTATATCACAAGACCAAGGGAGAAATGACCCGAAAAGTACAAACATAGTCGTCGCAATTGGGTTAACAATAACAGTGAAAAAATCTAAGGTCTAAGATAATAAGTATCCGGGGAAAATTTGTACAGGATGTGACTTGTGGGAAGCAGGGAAGGATAAAAGAGAAGAATCTGTTCTATTCCAGCAATGTTTTCTTGGTTGGGTACAAGTGGCTCAATGTGGTCTGACGTCGCAGTACGGCAAGTAGTTCTTCGTTCTTTTTCAATGCTTTAGCTAACTGAGGTTCCTCCATTGTCTCCATTTCACCAAAGGACTTACGAACTTTTCGTGTGAAATAGGCCCGAAAATTATAGTCCTGAAACTTCCCAGATTCATGAAGAAGTTCCTCATACAGCTTTTTGGCCTGTGGAGACAGAGCTTGTAAAACTCTGGTGACCCGCATGGCAAGATCGATTCTGAAAAAAGTGATGACGCAAAATATATTGGTGGAAATAGATACCCGTATGCAGAATAGCAACTGAGAAAAACCATGGATGTGGTCATCTACAACATTTCTGCTTACCGTCTGTTACCTTCTGTTCAGCTTTAGCTGGTCTGACGCATCTAAGGCGTCATTTGATCATTTTTCGCGCACCACCAAGCTGTGGGACGCCATTCTTCTCTACTTCCCATTTATTACAAAGCAGTGATACGCTGAGCGTGACATAATTGTTTCTCATTAATCTCCATTAAAATACGTAGGTATTGAGATTAAGGGATTTATCCTCTTTACCGAAAAGTAATCTTAATAGTTTTAGTTTAGGTTTGAGGACATAAAATTGGACGATTCTATACGGTGTTAGAATAATCGCCTACTTTTTTCGTGTATGCACAGCCCTGTGGGACGACGTCAATCCGCGACTAAGCCAACTGGGGTGGTATTCTTGAATGCGTTCTGCCGAGCGGTGAGTGGTACGGCCAATGTCAGTCGTTCCACAGGAACACAAATTGGTAAATGGAATCGCCTCCAAGATCACTTGATCTGTCCTCCCTTGGATTTCTTTCTTTGGGATATCTGAAGCGAGCCGTTTATTCCCGAAAACCGAGGACCTTAAACAGAGTATTGTGGCACAGTTCGAAGGTATTCCAACTGCTACCATTCTGAAGGTGGAAGAAAACTATCTTCACCGGATTTTGCTACGCAAGCATTTTTCTAAAATGTTTGTTCTTTCTTTTTTTACGAATTTTATCTCCGATGTAGTAGGGTGTTGGTGGTGCAGTGGTTTAGTCACTGTCACCGGCGTGCGTTGTACCTTATGGTCGGAGGTTGGAGCCCCGCCACCACCACCCAACATTGGTGGTAGGCAGCTCTGCTGTCATTCTGTTCTATACCAAGCCTAACCTATATGGGCTTTATGAGGTTCGCCACTCCAAGTCCCGGGGCTTAGGTTGCCGGTTTCCACCACTGAACAGCAGGTCCTCGTGACTATGGGGTCCGCCGCATCCGCTGTTCATCACACTTAGGTGTGTAATAAAAAAATTAAAAAAGAAGTTAGCGAGATCCTTTGTATGCGAAAACAGCCATTTGGGAAAAAAACCAACAAGAGTTTTGCATGGGCCTACATTAGGGGATATTGTTGTCCGTTATCAAGACAAGTTGAAAGTTTTATTATGATTATCTGTTTACCGAACCCGCTTTGAAAAATAGTGCATGTACTTTAGACGAGTCAAACGTTGGCCCAGTGTCATCATCGCTTGAGCATTGTCTATTCCGAATTTCCCACACGATGCATCGCTCCACAACTGATTCTCTTGCGGTGATTCTCTGACAACACTTCGGCAGTATCGGATTCGGAACTTATCCTTCTCCTGTGCCAGCCCTAAAATCACACGACCGATCGAGTTCATCTACCGATCGGTCGGATGGTTCAGGTGCAACAAGGGACCTGGCGTTTGCTCAGCTAACCCGTGCGAGAAACCACACCTTTTTTACAGCTGTTAGTTGTGGGTTGCAAAGAAATTGAGGAGATGCACGGAAGCCACTGTTTACGACACCCA